TCCCAAGAATACACAGGCAGCAGTTTTGGAGAAGGATACAAATCTATATCTCTTCCAAGGTCAAAACCAATGCTCATTCCATTATGCTGCCCTGTCCATTATTATAGTGATGAACTCTCCTTATAACATCTGTGTGAGATAGGAAGAAATATTCATGGGTAGCTGTGATATGAATTAGATAATAAATGTAAATAATTGATTTTGAATTTATATAGAATATTCAGTTTACATTGGTATTGAGAATCAAAATATTACAAATGAAGTCTAGGTAGTCCCAAAAAGTCTTTTTTTTGTTGTTGTTAGTAGTTTATAGGATAATCAATTTCAAGATAGAAAAGGCCCTTTGATAGCATTAATTCATCACCACTGCCCCTTTTTCTTTTTCTTGTTTTTTCTTTTCTTCTTAACAGCTGAGAGAACTGAGGTCAGTCACATGGCAAACAGCAGAGCTGGGATTTGAATCTAGCTCTTATGGATACCAAATCTCTTGGGTCTTTCTCCCACAACATGCTGCCCTGTCAATATCCTCCCACAAACTTTGTAACTGACTGCTACTATCCAATAAGCTCACTATGACTTGCAACCAGACAGTGCTAAGCCTCGAATTGTCTGCATGGCCGGAGAAGAACCACAAATCCCTTGAATATCCCCAAGCTGATTTGTTCATGTTCCAGTTATTTTACAAATTGTAGCAGTCACTTCACCCACCACTGATTGAAGCTGCCCTGGGGGTACATTAAAAGCCATTGTTTAGCCTTGTACTGAAATCCTACTAGACACTTCGGTACCAGAAACTAGGAGAGTATCACTCCTAATTAGAATGCGAGGACATTTTAAATAAAGGGGCCACAGAGGATAAAGCAGCTCTTGCAACATTTTGGCTCTAGGCCTAGAGATGAGGGAAGGAGAAAGAAGAGGCCAGGAAGCAGGAGAGACCTGCTGTCTTTATTCTGAATGAATTGTTAGTGATTTCCTGACGATTGTTGATTCTGCCTCTTTAAAAGACATTCTCCTGACTTCAGGCCTGGATTGTTGGTTAATTTCTGGCTCAGCACAGGACTCACTGACTTTTGTCAAGCTTCTTTCATTTCAAAGATAGTCGAGTATCAAAGCAAAGGTGTATGGTCCTGGTGACTGTTTACATCTGGCCTTCCTAGTTATTCCACTCTTAACTCTGTCAGTTTAATCACCCTTACATTGCCATCCAATCACAAAGTCTCCATCTGCAAACAATTCCTTGTTCCTGCTGGGGAGAGAAACAGTGGGGCTCTCAAGCCTGGAATGTCAGCTAGGAAGGGGTGGTGAGCTGGGAAATAGCAGCTTGGTCCTTCCCACCACCCACCATCAGTAACGTGTTTCTCCAACATCAGATGGTTGGGATACATGGAATGGCTTGCCTAGGCCAGCTGTCTCTGTCAGTCAGTGAAGATAAGCTGAATAGAGGGAGCTTTCTCATTCCTAAGGGATTCTCTCTTCCTCCTTCTGCTGCTTCTTTTGTGGCAATAAAGCCACAGGAGACATCAGGGTATCTGCCTTAATTATAGAAGAATGTTTCTGTCTATTAGAAAGATTGGGGACCTAGGTGAAATAGAGCATAAGATGCTTGTCCTTCAGTAATTCAGTGATTCTATGATCTCATTTAACATGGGTATGCCTTCTACAGGTGCCCATTACAACTTAGAGGGATTCTTGGGGTTTTCTTGTTTTGTTTTGATTGAGCAAGCATTTATTTTCTCTCCTCTACCTCATTCCCCCATTGGAAAAAAAAAATCAACAACTTTTAAAGCCCTTCACAACTTAGGCCCTTGCTACCTCTTCAGTCTTCTTACATTTTATTCCCTTTTACCTACTTTACAATCTAGCAACTCTGAGAAGGGGCAGCTAGGTGGTGCAGTGGGTAGAGCACTAGCCCTGGATTCAGGAGGACCTGAGTTCAAATCTGGTCTCATACACATAACGCTTACTAGTGTGTGACCCTGGGCAAGTCACTTAACCTCATTGCCTAGCCAAAAACAAAACAAAACAAAAACAAACAAAAAAGATCTAGTAACCTCTGGAACCTTCTTACTGTTACTCACGTATATCCTCTGTCTCCCAGTTCCATGCCTTTGCCATCACCTGTCTCCCAAGTGTAGAATTCTTTCCCTCCTCCTCTTCACCTCCTGGCTTCCTTAAAGTTTTATATGTGTTAGTATCTGTGCATTCCTTTTTTTTTTTTGCATTTTTTTATTTAACAGAATTTTATTTTTTTCCAATTACATGTAAAGACGATTTTCAACATTCATTTTATTAAAAGTTTTGAGTTCCAAATTTTTCTCCCTCCTTCTCTCCGTTCTTCCCAAGAGGGCAAGCAATCTGATATAGGTTATACATGTACAATCATGTGAAACATATTTCCACATTAGTCATGTTGCCTTCTCACTATTTTGCAAGATCCTCTTCCATGTCTTGCTTCCTCTGTATGGATAGGACCCAGGATTCTGTCCTTAGTCCTTTCCTTTTCTCTTTTTACCCTTTTTTGTTGGGGATCCATCAGATCCTACTAGGTAAAGAGGCCATTCTCTGCCTCGTTTCTTATTAAGCCTTAATCACTGAATGGGAGTTGCTTCAGTCAACCTGAGACCTGTTAAAGACCTTAGCTTGAAAAGGCCAAGGTCCCCCGCTGCATCTTGGGCCATCTCCAGGTGTCCTGATGTATATCTGGCCACTGGACCCAGATGGCTCCAGACGAGAAAGTGAGGCTGGTGACTTTGCACAGTCCTCCCTTACTTAAATCCAGTTCATTTGTGTGTCTTGGCATCACCTCCCTGATGTGATGGTCGTCTTCTAGAATGAAGGATGAACAGGAGCAGCTAGGTGGATAGTGGATAGAATAGATAGGCACAGTGGATAGAATACTGACCCTGGATTCAGGAGGACCTGACTTCAAATTGGGCCTCAGACACATAACTTAACTAGCTGTGTGACCCTGGGCAAGTCACTTAACCCCGTTGCTTACCCTCCCCCCAAAAAAAAAAGAGAGAGCGAATGAAGGACAAACAACAGGCATGAGATCCTATAGATTCCATTATGTAAATAACCTAGATATATGTGTCTGGTTCTCATCTCTGTCTCCGAATATGTCTGTTTGGAATTTAGGATTCTTCACCATTTGGCCCCAGATTATCTTTTCATGCTATTTGTACTTCAATCCCCTTCACACCCACTATGCTCTAAGCAAACTGGGCTATATGGGATAACTGATGCATAGTATTCCTTCTCTTTTCTCCATGCCTCTACCCAGGCTCTTTCCTGTGTCTAGAATGTTTTCCTTATGAAGCCTTTCCTAATTTTCCCAGTTTTTTTGTGCCTTCACTCCTAAATCACTTTATATTTATTTTGAATATATGTCTTAAATATAATTACCTTCGAGCATTTGTTGTATGTTGTATGTGTGCACGTGTGCGTGCGCACGTGCACACCTTAGTCTCTATCACCTAGTAGATTGTAAGTTCCTAGAGGGGCAAGGACTGGGACTGTCACACTTTTTTATTTTCCTCCCCAGCAGATAGCACAGTTTTCAGCACGTAGCAGGTTCTTAAATATTTGTTGATTAATTGGTACATCACAATATGACTTGAAACCATGGGAGCTTTCATTCATTTATATGACACCTGAACATTTGTAAATTGCTTTCCTCACTCAATTTCATGAGGTGGAGAGGTAGCACAAATACAAAAACCCCATTACCAGATGAGGAAACTGAGACTTTTAAAGATTAATTGACTTACTTGAAGTCACACAGCAAATAGCAGGGCTCAAACTTGAACCTAGATATTCAGTGTCCAAACCCAGGGCTCTTTCCACAATGCTTTGCAGTAAGAAATAAAGCACAATTACAAGGAGTGATTACTTTTATTGCCTTATCCTTTCCTGTCAATGTCCTGCCAGTTGTAGGTGAAATGGCTCTGTTGTCATGGAATCATTGGGTCAATCACCTGTTTCCTTACTGAGTAGATGCCTCGCTGTCCATACTCTTTGTGGATTATCTCGTTTTAAGAGATATACCTAACTTTCCTCTGCAATTCAGTTCACTGTTTGCCAACATTTCCTGCTGTCAAAGGAGTTCTGACTTACCCAGCCTAAATCCCTTTGCCATTTAAGCCTATTTCTTCTTATTCAGTTCTTCATGGAGAAAAAGAATGGCTCTGAATGCCCTTCATTTACCAGAAGATTATGTTAACCCCTTAATTGTGCAATACTAGTATATAGGTTAGTTTCCTTCGAATGTGAATATTTGATTAAAAATGAATCCATTTATTCTATTATAATATAGTTTTCTCTATGGAAATGACTTGATAGGATTTTGGTTTTGTTTTTTTAGTAAACCATATTTGATCATTGTGGGGAGAAATATACATATAACATGTGTATGTGTACATGCATACACACATTTTAAAATGTAAAAAATAAGACCACAGCAGTTTCTAATCAACTAATATTAATGGAACATTACTATATAGTATAACTAGATAAATTTTTGAACATTAACTTCTATGCTTGTTCTTCTATCTGAAAAGTATAATCAAACAAAATTTTGATAGGCTTTGGGAGTGGGATTTGGGGTGATGATTGTATGAACAAGGCACATCTGTGGAGCTTGGTTTGCATGGAGATTAGAGAATTCAAGTAGGAGAGTGGTAGTATATGAAGCTAAAAGGGTAGGTTGGGAGCAGATTGTAAAGAATTTTAAATGCTTCCCAAAACCCTCAGGGAATCTGCTTACTTTATCCAAGGGACATGTTATAAAAGCAACTCATCAGTAATCCACATAATAAACCTCTCTCAGAGTTTATGGGCACCTTTGGGCTTTGGATTTTTGTACATCTTCATTAAAGGCTAACCACTTTATTTGCTTTATTTTTAATGGCCATTAAGTAAGTCATCAGATGTATAAGTAATGTGTGACAGTGAAGTGTATTAATAATTAAGTATCCTGAAAGCAGACTCTTGTTTTTCAGCTTGCCAAGAACATTGGGAATGCAGGTTTTAATGAGATTATGGAATTTTGTCTGCCAGCTGAGGACTCTATCAAGCCCAACCCAAGCAGTGACATGTAAGTGAAAAACAGCTATCCTCACTTTAAAGCTACCAATTGTGTGCTGCATCAGATCTCAGTTCATTGGAGCTAAGGAGATATCTTTGGGGTGTGTTATCCCATTAGCAGATATTCAGAAGTAGATCTACTAATTTTCTGCCCTCTTTCTCAACCTGCTATGTACTGTATCTAGATCATATGTAAGAGCTAATCAGTAGTGATATAGCTGCCATAGAATCCTGGCAGTGGTTGTGGTAAGTTGGAAGAAATACACATACAGCAATAATCATTTTATCAGCCAATCATCTTTCATGCAATTCATTTACCATTTTTTATAATCCAAGCTCATTTCATTCTAGTTTTTAAATTTTTGTTCATTTAATTTTTAAAATTTTTATTCCTACTTTGTCTTATATGTTACCTTAAAGAATTGATATAAGCAGTTCTGACCTTTTGTTTTGAATTCTGTGGTTTCAGGGAATTCAATATGGGTAGTTGGCTCCTCATTCTGTTACAGATCCTGAAGCCACAGCTTCAGAAACCTAACTAACTTTTTTTCACTTGGATATATCCTTTGTGGTAGCTTAAACAAAGGTGGGGAAGGTAGTAAAACACAAACCATTTTAGTAATTTCTATGTCTAGATAAAGGTGGTCTTTTCTCCTATCATCTGGCTGTATGTGTGTGCGCATACGCTACCTTTTCTCTCTTGCTGTTTGCCTTCATCAGTCACTTTCTTTTTGCATTTCTCTCCTCATAAATTCTGGTTCTCTGAGGGTGTTAGTTGTCATAGATACAAGTCACATATCTGCTTCCTTCCTTTGCCCCACTGTATGCCTGCAGATATGCTGGGAAGGGTTTTGTTTTAAAGAAAAATCTGCTTTTTAAAAAAATATGCATTCTTCTTTATTCTGTGATCTTTATTCCTTGCTGCTAAAAACAAAACAAAATTAAAAACCTAAAACTTGAACTTTTATGCCTCATTAGGCATTTCTTCCCCTCAGTGAGGAAGGACTTAACCGTGAGCACTGATCTCATGATTCTGCTATACAGAGTACAGATTATTTAAGCATCCTACTGTCTTCTAAGGAGGAAAGCCTTGTACCAAAGGGAGCAAGTATTGTCTTATCTTTCCCTCTTATTTTAGTGGTAGTTAAAATTTATGTCCTGCCTAGTCCTCAGAGGTCACTTACCCATGTGTAGTATAGTCCCTGCAACTGGGGTGACTTCTGGCTAGCTGATCCCTTATGCACAAAAACTCCTAGTATACTGAGGTAATACATGACATAATGCCTTATACCCATAATAGATATTTGTTGAATAATAACAAGACGCATAAAACATATGGGACTTAAGCTACCAAAACACATAGAAGTTTAATGTAAATGAAATCACAAAACAGTCTTTTTAGAAATTAAGAATGACCTTCATAATTGGAGAGAGATTCAGTGATCTTGGTTGGATTGTACTAATATAATAAAAATGACATTGCCACCTAAATCAATTACGGATAATTTTGTATCAATGTAATTGCCAAGGGAATAGTTTATAAATTAAGGCAGAACAATAACAAAATTCACTTGGAGGAACGTAAGAGCTAGAATCTTACGGAAGATAACTTTTTCAAAGTATGAATGAAGGGGGCACAGTATTACCATACTTCATATTATGTTATAAAGTAGAAATCGTTAACATTTTTTGGTACTGACAACCAGAAAAGTAGACCAGAGAAACAAACAAGATAAGCAAAACCCAGAAGCAAATTAAAACAGTAGTTTAGCATTTGATAAACCTAAGGCGATAAAAAACACAAATTGCTTGGGGAAGGGCTACCTATTCGACCAAACTTGGCAAAAGAAACCTGGAAAACAATTTTACAAAAATTAGCTGTAGACCAACATTTGCATCATTTATTAAAATAAGCTTTAAATAGATTCTTGATCTAAATAAAAAAGCTACATTAAAAAAAAAAGGTAACAAGACATAGGAGATTCTACCCTTTTACAGCTATGCCTAATGGGAGAGTTCTTATCCAAATAAGTGAAAGAGGTGATCTTAGAAGATTTACATAAAGTTAAAGGACTCTTGCCTAAATTAATCAAGATGAAAAAGAAAAACTGTCAAGCTGAAAAAAAATCCTTGCATCAATAAATTCACCTAACAAATTCACCTAAGGAAATGATTTTTTCCTGGTGCTATACTCAAGCGATAATTTTCCTTGTAGTCCTTTGTATGTAAGATATTTCCTAATGATATCCTCAACTGTACTTTTACAAAAGGCAGAGAATGTTGTTCAAGTGGGTGATTCTGGTATTGATCCAATAAAGGCAGAAGGCATAACAGTAAATTGTAATTCACTAGACTAAGTTAAAAATAGTTGGTTCTGATACTTTGTGTTCAGATGATATAACTTATTACACAAAGATAGAGGAAGTAGACTATGTTTAGATTCTAGGTGAATGGATAGTTCACAGACTGAGTTAACTGCCTGTCAGAATAACCAGTGGCTTATGGTTTTGGCAGCTTTTAGTCTGAAAGCAGCTTGTAATTAAGTTGTCTGCAAAGTAGATTTTATGTATTGTAAGCAGTACCTGTTAAGTTCCTCCCTTTCATCTTTGAATCCTAAATCTAATGCTATGGCCTCTAGGAAACCTTTCCTAATCCCCATGGTTAGAAATAGGTTTGGAGCAGGGCAGCTAGGTGGGGTGTTGGATAAAGCACCTGCCCCGGAGTCAGAAGGGCCTGAGATCAAATCTAGCCTTAGATACTTACTGGCTGTGACCCTGGGCAAGTCATTTAACCCTGATTATCTCCTTTTAAAAAAAAGTGTGAGCGTGTGTGTGTGTGTGTGTGTGTGTGTGTGTGTGTATTACATACTAGCCATATATAGTCATCCGAGTTGGTGATGTCTTTCTTTCTAGACTGTAAATTCTCTGAGGGCAGGAACTATTTCTTTCCTCAATGTTGAATGATTCTTAGGAGGTATTTAATAAATGTCTTGTTGTATTGTTTAAAAAAAAAATAAGAGCCACACGCAGACATAACGGGAGTCAGTGTTACCTCTAGTTGTAGAAACTGAAGAGATGGGTTTATGTTCTTGCTCAGACAGAAAGTAGCATGAACTCAGGCAGCAGGAATACCTCTGGGTATCCGGTACACCATCTGTTGTTTCTGCACAAGCTCTGGAAAAGCTGGTCGTCAGGTTTGCAGTGTTGGGCCTGGTGAGTCATCCCCACGGAGGGAAGGAGAAGGGAGGAAGGAAGGGAATGAACATCTATGTAACACCTGCTAAGGACTTTTTACAACTGTTACCTCATTCGATCCCCACAACTACATTCTGAGGCAGGTGCTATTATTATCCCCATTTTATACTTGAGGAATCTGAGGCAAACAGAGGTTAAGTGACTAGCCTAGGGTCACACAGCTCGTAAGTGTCTGAGGCTGGATTTGAACTCAGGTTCTCCTGTCTGTAGGCCTAGTACTCTTTCCACTGTGCTACAGAACAGTGCCTTATATGTTGGGAGTTGGGAACCAATTGTCCCACTTTAACCCCTCCCCCTCCTCAATTGCAGGAGGTGAATAAATTCTTCTTCTGGTATCTAGAATTTAGTCTTAATGAAGGATGTATTTTTGCCATCCCTGGTGGTGAATTCACTTCCTGGTGAAGTTTTTCATGAAGCCTTTCCTCATTTTTCTAGCTACTTTTCCCTCTCATTTATCTTCTTTCTGTTTTGTATGTACCTATGGAGGCATATTTTCCTATGTAGGGTATCCCAAAAGTCCTGTGTGGTTTTGACCTATTAAAGTTTAAAATTCTGCTAAGATTTTTGGGACCCCTTGTGTACATGCTTGGTGTTGCCCCTGGCTAGACCGAAGGCATTATTTGACTTTTGTCTGTACTTTCTAACACCTACCGTGGGGCCTGGCACATACAGTAGTCACTTAATAAATGCTTTTCAAAAGTAAGACTGGGGCATCCTGCCCAGGATTGTTGTGAGTGTCACTTGGCTCTTTCATTTTAAAGATGAAAACACCTCTAAAGTTGTTGTGTACTGAAAATGCACCACCCACCTCTGTCACTGCTTGAATAAGCTCGTTCATCACTGCCACCTAGGAAATAAACATACTGTTTGCAGCTTCATCTCAGAATGAGTGTGCTGAAGGGTGGGCTGAGATGCCTTGTAGTGGCTTTTGAATCCCCAGATGGAGTGTGGGGGTGCTAAATCTGTGTGTGGTAAATAATTAGAGGAAAAGTCATAACTGTCTAAAACTTCAGAGTCATTGCTACTGTGTGATTAGGAGGTGACCTTTCTTTTATCTGATCCTCCTCTTTTTATCCAGAGTTTAACTGAAGTTAGACTAGCACGGTGCCTCCAGCACTCGGCATAGTGCCTGGCACATAGCAGGCGCTTAGGTAAGTGGCTTGGTGGATAGAGTGATGGGCATGGACTCAGGAAGACCTGAGTTCAAATCTGGCCTCAGAAACTTACTAGCTGTGTGACCCTGGGCAAGTCCCTTAACCCTATTTGCTTTGGTTTCCTCATCTACAAAATGAGCTGGAGAAAATATGGCAAACCACTTCAGTACCTTTGCCTGGAAAACCCCAGATAGGGTTATGGAGAGTCGGATATGACTGAAAACAAAAACAACAAAATGTTTATTGATTAGCAAATGCCTGTCGGCTGCCTTGCACATATTGGATGCTCAATACATAGTTGTTGAATTGAAGTCTTGGTTTTAAAATCTACTCTGGATAGTAACTGAACTTCCCAAGGATTCGTGGTTTTGTTGGTATGTGAATTCCCTCTACCAATATAGCTCACCACTTCTGTATGCTTTGGTTTTTGGAATTAATTCATCATCTGTTGGCTAAACCATTGGTGACCAAACCTTTCCACCCTTATTTAGACAGGTCCTTGGACATCAGCATTTTTGAGGTCTCACAACATCCATACTCTCTTTTTCTCCACTTCCGCCTCTTCAATCTGGGGCCAAGTCTTGTCAATTCTGCTTTAACAG